CCGTGAGCCCTGGGTGGTGTGGGCAAGGGGAGGCAGACTGGGGCACTCGCTTCCACGGGTTTGGGGTTTAAGGGAGGGGTGGCCCCGAGTAATCTAGAGTCCAAGGTTTCATTCTTGGGCTGTATTTTCTTTATCTGAGCTGGCATATTCTTTCTCAGCTAAACTCATAAATGGTTTATGAGGACAGGTGTGTAAGGGCAAAAAAAAAATAGTGCCTGTTTAAATATTCTTTATGATGCTAAAGTGCTCTTTGAAGATTATATGTACTGCTCTCTGGTAGTTTTTAAATCTTTAATCTTTTGAGGAAAAGGATGGCTTGGAGGTAAGCCCAAGAGGAACTTTGGGGGGTGGGGGCGAATACAGGTGAAAGGAGCACTGTCAAGATAAATATGCTGCCTGCTGTGATAAGTGGTGAGGGAGGCCAAAGGAATTCTTTTTACTGTAGGGCATTTATTGCCTCCTAGCTGTTCTCTCTCTGCTCAGTGGGGGAGTGAACCTGATTTGCTTTTCAGCAAGGACTCACTTTCTGAGTGCTGGATTCTGATGCCCTCCAAGTTCTGCTATTTTGACTTCTGTTGCAGCTTTAACAGAGCAGTGGCAACTGGGTTTTTCACGTTAACACCTTTCCACTCACCACGTGGGATCCTGCTATTGATACATAGTTCTTATTGGCCCATTTGCTTTGCGTTTTCCTAATAAACTAAGGGCGGTGTGGTTTGATACTGTCTTCATTAAACTGAACCTTGACCAGTTTCTGTCTTCTCAGAGGTAATGGCCATGGGAGAGAACCTGGAACCTTAAGCCTCCAGGGGAGGGATGTTAGGAGTTCATATTTTCACACTCAGAAATGTTAGGTAAAGATCTAACAGACCTTTTGTGGGGTGGGGGAGGGGAACAAATGGGGCAGCGAGTTCAGCTCGTTTGCTAAGTATGAATTGCACAGGTGGAACTGGGGGTTAAGTCTGTCAATAACTTGTTACATGTTATTTGTCAGTATGTACAGGGGATCTTATAATATGCTATAGTGTATATATTTGGTGTTTACAGTCAAAAGGTCAGGCTTTGCTACTTACCATTGAGTGACCTTGGACAGGCGCCTTAACCTCTCTGGACCTCAGCTTCTTCATGTGCAAAACATGCCCGTTGAATCACAATCCTTTTCAGGGTGGTTAGGAAAAGGAGTATCAGGAAGAGGATATACAAGGAAGTACTTCGTAAACCAAGAAACGTATAGGACGGTGTACTGCGGTGCTAATTGTGAAAATGCCACCATCTCCAATTTTAAGCGTTCCGATGGAGATGGATATGGTTACTTTTCCAGCCGCCCTCATCCAGTTCCTGTAGGACACCTGTGCTCTGCCTTCGCTGGTTTGAATGGAGGATTCCGTGCCACCCACATTTGGTTTCAGGGCTCAAGATTCCTCTCACTGGTTTTCTTTAGTCCTTCCCTTCCAGGTCCAGACTGTCCTCGATTTGTGTGTGCGTGCCCTGTGCCCCTTTGTGGCGGAGTTAGCTGCCCTTCCTGCAGCCCTGAGGGCCATTCTTCACAGCCCCCATGGACCCTTGCTGTCTTTCACAGTAGCTATTCTTCTGCTTCCTCCCATCTCCTGCTGTCTGTCTGGCCTGGGCCCTAGAGGTCAGGTCTCATTGACCTGTCATTTTGTCTCCCAGGCCCTGCTGTCCCTTTCCCTTCCCTTGTCATGATTTACTGTGGAGGGGAGGGAGTCAACCAGTCCTTTTTTCTCTGGCCCTAGGACAGCTGACCCTCTCCCAAGCTCCCCCATTGCCCAGCTGTTGATAGCCAGAGTCCTGCTTTGACCTTGTCTCTTGACTGCCACATCTTTTGGGGTCTGTCCACCCATTCTTCCTCTCTGATCTCTGAATGGTGTAGGGCTGGTGGGTGGAATTATGCAGTCATGGGCAGTTCCTCAGATTCTGTAAAGGATCAGTCCCTAAAATTGGGGATTCCATCCCCCACTTCTGGTCTTCTTGCCCAGATCCTTGGGGCGGCTGCCAACTTTGGGGCCAGAGTGGGAGCCTGGAATTAAGGAACTGAGGACAGAGGTCTGAGCGGGGGGTGGGCAGAGGAAGTCATAAAGACTGCCTTTTGGAAGACTTGAGCTGGCTTCTGGCAGGGTGTGGGGACGGATAGGAGGAAGAATTGCTTCTCACCAAATGAAAAACCATGCGCCAAGTACTAAGCCTTAGGTGTGGACTGGTCACAGCAGAGGGAGGTTCTCAGAAGTGTCCTGCGTCTAGAAAGGATGTGCCTGTCTTGTGACGCATTTCTTTCCCTGATCTGCCCTTGAGTTGGTATGAGTGTTGTATCGTACAGAATCCCCACTGCGTGGATGTTTATGCAGTCGGCCTGTCAGCGTAAAAGACATGGGCTCCCTTTCTTGGAGGAAAGCCCTTGCAGTCAGATGAGATTCCACATTTTGGGGCCAGGGTGTGACAGATGGATGAGTGCCTAAGACTGTCTGGCAAGTAGCAAGCACGAGATAACAGAACCACAGGTAGGTGACACCAAGTCCCTCCAGCCCGTTCCTTACACGACACACCTCTCTCCCCCCAATCCTGGATCTTCTGCCCTGGAGCTGAAGAAGCACCTGCAGCCAAGGTCTGGAGGCCCACGGGGTTCCAGAAGGGGTGGTAGCCAGTCCTCAGGCTGCGTGGCTGGTCTTTAGGAAAAGCTGGTTGTGAAAGAGCTGGCAGCAGCTGTGCATTCTGCGGAGAGCGTATGTGTGTGTGAAAGGGGAAGGCAGAGAGCTGGAGAGCACAGAGGGGCCTGAAAGAAGGGTAGTCTCACTTTTCAGGGCTGGAAGGTAAGATGGTGGCAAGACAGA